AGTCGTGTCCTCTTTTGGAAGACCAAACAAAGTAGTTTCGCTTTCACAACGAAACACACAGCGGGCTAGAGTGAACGGCGGCCTAGAGTGAGGAACGGCTGGCGGCTAGAGTGAGCGGTAGCGGGCGGGCTTGAGAACAGCGCGGCCGGCGGATTCGACGGGATCAGCTCTAGGTATGACGAAGCGGATATCGTCCTCTTTTGGAAGGACAAACAAAGTAGTTTCGCTTTCAATATGAAGCACACAGCGCCTTCACGACATGGCGGCGGCAGCAACAATACTACAGCGAGAATAAAAGTTACGCCTTCTTTCTTTGCGTGAACATTTGGGCCCCAAAAAACCCATATCGGTCGGGCTCTACTTGTAACACTTCAAAGAGAAAGGAAAAATTGAAATCGCATCATATGACCCCTTTAAAATATCTCAAGCGTGCTTTTTAGAGACATCTATTGTGGCTGTCTACTGTAATATATAGTCCAGGTTATTTGATCCCTGTCACTACTGTAAACACCAAACAAAAGCACAAGTCATAAAAGTGTGCAGAACATGAGCCAGGCCGTTATTCCGTCACATCTCTCTCCTGTAGGGTTGAAAGCGCAGCTCTCTTCCAGTCACAGAGGAAGTGATGTAATTGATCACACAGCCACAATACCCAGTAGATCTTTTTATAACCTCTTTGAGCCCATCGCCATCTGAATTATGGGATTTGAATGTGCGCTTAGAAAACCAGTGCGGCTCAAATGTGTGGGCCTGAGAACAAAATAATCAGGGCAATGGTCGCCATAGCAACAGACAAAGTACCTTACTCCTGTGGGAATACTCATGGAGGGCTGCAGCACCACAGGTGTAGGCTCTATGAGTGCTGTAGGACCGTCCTCGTCGTGGCAGTTTGTCTTTGAAGCTCGATATAATAGCTTTTTAAAGTGCCGTATCCGCTTTGCAATACATGCTTGTTGGACTAGATGTAAATAACACTTCCTAAGCATAAACGACACAAGATCTCATGCAAAAAAGCCTTTCTCCATAAAACTGGGACTAGGATTCTTTATGTAACATTTATGTGACATATGTGCATGCGTGTATTATGCATGTACATATGCTCCTGCAATCCTGTAAAAAAATAAAAAATCTATGAGCCGGATGACTTTAATCTGTTGGTCAGTCGTGACCAACATGTTAGTCAGTGTGTATGTTTGCGCATAAAAAAGATCTAGAAAGTTACAAATCTCAAAGTCCACTCCAAAGGGAGGTATTTCGTTTTTTTAACGAAAAATCCCTTTTCAAGAACTACAACGAATGGCTCGTTTGGACTACAATGTTTGTTTTCCGGGCTTTGTGATATCACAAAGCGGCTCATTGGAATATCATTACAAATAATTCCCACCTACAGAAATTCGAATGGTTGGGGGGTGAGGAGGGGCGAGGTTGTGGTTAGAACGCTTGGTTGAGTGAGTGCATCAGACAAGACGACGAAGAAGAAGTGCTGCTGCAGAGTTAGTGCATCAGAGAAAACGAAGAAGAAGAGCTGCTGTGATGTAGCGTAAAATTTTCGGCATGTCTAGAACAATTCTTATAAGTATAACACGACGTAGCTGGGCGCCGCGGACAGACGCCGAACGGCGCCGCCGGTGTGCCTACACTCATAGAAAATAAAGTATTTGAATTTTAAAGACGTGGCGTGACGCAACGCTGCGCTTCTCGTCCGGTGTGCGACCGCCTGAAACGCTGTTTTTTTTCACCTCCGTGCCCAAACATCTTTGTTTGGGCTTCCGAAAGCGGATGATGTCAAGAAACAGTGGTTGCAATTTATTTTTTAACTCTGTTCCTGAGCATTATAACCCCAATTTGCTATTGTGTGCTGCGCATTTTACTGAGGACAGCTTCCACAACACGAGGGAGTACAGTGCCGGATTCGCCCCAAAAGTTTTTGTTGAAAGACGGAGCAAGGGGCGTGGCAGTAATTAGTTCACCCAAAAATGGCTGTCATTATGTCATCTTTTTACTCACCCATGTCATTCCAAACATGTATGACTTTCTTTCTTCTGTGAAACATAAAAGGCATCATGGCGACAACATAAAGTGTCTAGATTTTGCTATTTTGTTTATATTGCGGAATGTAAATACAGTTGCAAAAAAATATATTTTTTAAAAAAGTAATTAAAAAACATAAAAATAAATATTAGGGATGTGCAAGACTAGTCAACTAAATGATTCTGCTGCTGCTAATCGACACTGGAAATACTAGTCTATCATGTTAATGTTTCATTTTAAAAAATAATACATTATTTTGAAAATATATTGTACATTTGGAGCAGAAAACAAAATAATTGAATTGTACCTCAGACGTCAGAATCTATGCTAATATGGAACACTGAATTGTGCACAATAAGAGCAGAAATGTGCATTAAGAACGCAATAGGGTCTATTCTAGGGCTGTCAAAATGGTTGAAAAACTACATTTGAATTTTTTACTTAAATATTATCAAAATTCGAATTGTATTTGAATTTAAAATGCATAATTTCAGTTAGGGTGAAGAAAAGCTTTTGGCTTCTCTCTTGAGGCCACAAGAGGGCGCATCGAGCAAAATATTACTAATGCATGTTTATTCAAAGCATAAGATAACATGACTATCTGTGAAAAAAGTGCATAATGTTTAAAATAATGTTTATAAACCAATTCGAATGTGGATTTTTATTTTAAATTCTACGAATATTCAAAATTCGAATTTTTTTTTGACAGCTTAGTCTATTCTGCTTCATGTTGACTTTAAAGTCCTGCACTAACGTTTTCCTGTTTTGACATTCTCCATAGATTCCCCTTTATTTGGCCATTTTGTTTTCTTTGCAAATCAACAAACACATCCTGAGTAGAGAGAGCGAGCTGAGTGTGGTGACCCGACCAGCTGTTCGAAATATTTTCATCCATGCATGCAAAACCCATGCCGGTTTTCCCCCCACAGTCGTCGTTTTAGGGCTACAGAGAGTTGAAATAATCAATCTGGTAAGGAGCCAACGCAACGCTGCCCTCGTCTTGCTGGAAACTGCGCTAAGCATCTTAGACAAATCTTTTTCCTCTCCTCCCCGACACCCTCCTGAAGAGCGAGCCGCGTCCAGGTTCGCCTGAGGATCAGAGGTAGACAGAGGAAATCAAGCATGGCCGCACTGTTTATTTCCCGCCAAACACAGAGGAGAGAAATGAACACACGCAGAGCGATCTGTGAAAGGATGGCTTTGGTACAGCAGTCATCCCTGTCGCCCTGTATCGTATGAGGTGGAGCCGGAAACAACAGAGGCCAGACCGCTCTAAATGAGCACAGGACAAAACGCCCCGTGCACAGGCTTCAAACGCACCCTCATGCCAGCTCTAGCGTGTCAGAACTGCATGGCGAAACCTAGAGACAGACAGACGGGCTTGAAAACAAAAAGACACACATACACCACTCACCTTCAGCAATACAGCTAAAATTATTGCATGTAAATATATTTCGGCCTTTTGATTATATATATATAAGCTATATTTAAGCAGTTGCTCTGAAAAGGCTTAAAAGGGTGATGTAACTCAATCTGGAAAACCAACTATATTCATTTTATTTAACTATAAAATTAACCATAAATGTACCAAACATGACAAATATCACTAAGCGTGAACATTGATGATGCAAAAGGATCCTTGAATTAGAATTGTTTGATTCTGAATTGTTTGATTCTGAATCTGAAACATTTGAATCTGAATATTCGGAATCATATGAATATGCATCATTTGAATCCAAATAGTCTGAACCCAAATTAATTGAATTAGGGCTGTTACTAACAATAATTTTTTCTATTGATTATTTTTCTGATTAGTTGATTAATCAAACAATTATTTGTAAAGATAAAAAAATTTCCAATACTGTAGAAAAGCAAATATAGATGGAATGATAATCCTCAAATTTAATACCATAATATATTGAGACTGGTATACTAATGCAACCCAATGCAACACTGTGACGTGTCAATACAAATCAACATTAGGGATGTAACGATTAACCGCGAGCCGGTCGAAAATCGATTAAAATATGTGACGATTCAAATCGGTTGAGAAGCCAAACAAATCGCGATACAATTGGAGTAGGAGTTTATATGAATGTATCTCTGAGGGGAACTGACTATCTTTAGAAAAGTTTACGTGGTATTTTCTTTTCATCTTGCCTCTGAACAATGCATATTAAAGTAGTGTTCATAAGCGCAGCTCTGCTTTGTTTACGGTGGTTACCCAGGAAACACTGTATCATTGCTGTTCATAAGCGCCACCTGCTGTCAGAGAGTGAATCTGTGTCTCATTCAGCTCGTCTGCCGTTTCGTTCAGATATGTTTTATGTAGTATACAAATGCACACTTCACAAGATCTCAACTAGATTCGACTAAGTCTGCAAGGTTTGTGAGATTAAATGTTCATTAGTCATTCAAAGATTTGTTTAAATTATATAAATGCGTATTTGCTGAATGCTGACGGCAAACGAGAAAGTATTATAATGTTTGCCTTTCTATTACTAATAATATTAAAGCAATCGTTATAATACTTTTTTGTATACAATTTAATTCCTTTGTTTAACAGTTCTATCTGATTATTAGACAGACTTCTATCCATATTAAACAGAACTGAACGACAACAGCGAACAAGTGGGAGAATGTGAGCGGTGTGCGCTCAGGCGCTGCCGTTCTCAGCGCCGTCAAAATAAAAGTCCCGCCTCAAACACATCAGCCAAACAGAAAAACTTATCGGCTGATGCAGATATTTGAAAAATTCCAAGTATCAGCCGATATATCGATCGACCACTAATCGTTATATCCCTAATCAACATATTTACATATTCGACATGGTCAATTATGTTGAAGCATAGTTTCCCTAATTTGAATCCAAATCCATTCACTGAAATGGAGATTTTGAACTGATTCACAGAAATGAACTGAACTCACCAGGTTGTGATTCAAACACTGGATGCCAAATTAGTTTAATGACACTTAATGATGTTGCAAAATATTTAATATATTTTTAACAAATATTTAATACATTGCTCAGCCTAGTTTCATACAAATGCCCAACACAACATACTCAAAATATAAGTTTTTACTTTTAACACAAAATATGATACTAAGATTTTTTTACTGAGAAGAGTGATTTTAAGGATACAATTAGCTATGATTTGTCAAGAGAGAAGCAGTCAGCCATCATCTGTGACTAAGCAATCAACTACAGTACTCACATCCAAACATGACGGATTGATGCATTTTTAATGACTGGATAAAGATGATGAGAAGAAGAAAAGATTTGGGTGTGGAAGAGTGTCACACCAGTGTTCTTGCCAGAGGTCAATATTCACAGCAACTGAAAACCCTTAACAAAACCGTTATCATGAAAATAGAAACACGGATTCTAAAATGGGAAACTGTACATATCCTGTGAACCGCCTCAGCATTCATGAGATCATATTTTTGGGGTAAAATTAGCTCACAATACGTTCCCACTGTGCCTGGTCTGGCTGACTGCTGCCACAGAATGTTGACGTTTCTATATATGCAGATGATCGGTACGACCCATAATTAGGTATTTCCTCACATGTTGGTATTTTTAGCAGAGGATGAAATGAGCCTTTCAGGGTGAGATGAGTGTACGCTACTGAAAATGGCCAGCTGTCCCAGGAGAACCAAACATCTCTATAAACACTCTCCTGGCAAAGCCGTGGGCTCTTGTTAAAGAACACAAATAATGTTAACACACACCCCTCTTTCTTTGCCTTGTTGTAATTTTTGGTCGAAAAGCTTTAAAGACTGACTAAACACTCAAATCCCTATATTTAACAGTAGGGCTGGGTATCGATTCAGATGTCCCGATTCGATTCGATTCGATTCGATTCTCGGTTTTTTTTTATTACGTTCAGTGAATATAGTTTTAATACAAATGCTATTGATATTTCTAAAAAATTAACAGTAAACATCAGTTTACAAATAGTGAATTAATAAAAAGAAATGCTCTCGATTCTATTAGATTCTCGTTTTTTTTGATTACGTTCAGTGAATATAGTTTTAATACAAATGCTATTGATATTTCTAAAAAATTAACAGTAAACATCAGTTTACAAATAGTGAATTAATAAAAAGAAATCAAGAACCACATGCCTGCAGTGTTGGGGAAAGTTACTTTTAAAAGTAATGCATTACAATATTGCGTTACTCCATAAAAAAGTAACTAATTACATTACTTAGTTACTTTTTATGGAAAGTAATGCGTTATGTTACTTTTGCATTACTTTTTAAATCTGGACAGGGGTTGCTTGTTTGATTTTAAAATAACTATTTTTGGCAAATATAAAAGCCTTTTCACACCAAAAGTGAAATGAATAAG